CGCTAACACAGTGGTTAAGAGCATCATCTATGGGACAAGGTTGCCTGGGTGTGTGTTCTCTTTGCACCTTTAACTAGATCTGTGACCTCGAGCAGGACGCTTGACTTCTCTGTTCCCCAGAATCTTCATGTCAAATGTTGTAATAATCATACTTATTTCAGAGAGTTGTTTTATATGTACATATATGTAAATGTATACATATACATTTACACACACACACACACACATATAAAGTGATTAGACCCTAGAATGAAAGGAGAAATGTGCCTAGAAGGAAAACCTAAACACTTGTAATTTGCTGTTATTCCTCTTGAGTATGTGTATTTGTGTATTTTGACAAAATTTTTTTTTGTAGTATTGGACAATTGAACCCAGGACCTCATGCTTTCTAGGCAAGCACTCCTACCACTTGAGCCACACACCAGCCCTTGCGTTTGTTTGTTTTTGAGGTAGATCTCACTACATTTGCTCAGGCTAGCCTCAAATTTGTGATCTTCCTGCCTCCTCCTCCCAAGTGGCTGAGATTACAAGTGTACACCACCATGCCCTGCTTGAATTTTGCTTTTAAGGAGAGATATAGCAGAAAATTTGTTATTTCTCCCTCTTGTTCAACATAGTACAGCATAAGTCTGTGATCAATTTATCAAACTGGGAATAAGTATTGTCTTAAAGAATATAAGAAGGGACTTTTTTCTCTCTATCTCCCAACTGCCTTCTTACAAATATAATTGGCATTTTATTTTTAACCAGAGTTTCTATGTTTAAGACATCTAACCTTTAATAATATTTTATAAAATAAGTCCCTTTCATACACAATTCTTCAAATTGTACTTTTAAAGAAAGTCATTGACTTCATTACTGCCATGTTTTGTGTTCTTTTCTCCCTCTGTTATGCCCAGTCTTGCTTCTGCATTAGTCATTTTGACTACTCTGTCATTATGTTGATGCTCTCTTTTCTGGACAGCCTAACTTAGCCCTGTTTTCCCTCCCAGCCATCCTTCTGATTTCCCCAGCACACCTATTGTCACCTGCCACCCCCAGGCATGTCCACAAGCATCAAACCTGCTGCACCCTCCTCAGGACTCTTCTTCCTACAGAAGGATCAGTGATCTGGAAGGCTTCCTCTACCCTTTCTCAGCTGTAGGCCTCACATCTATTGTGTTCTCTCAGCTCAGGTCCAGCCCCCTATCCCAAAGCTGGTTACTATTTCCACTCGAATCCCTCGTCACTGCATTGAAACTGAACTTTATTTCCTCAGAAAACAATTTCCCCTTGCAGATGTCTGGGTATCAAAAACTCCACCCTGATCCCACGGCCTGGGCTTCACATATTGCTGCTGCCTTTGGCCCATCCCTTTGCATTCCTTGCTTAACTAAATGTTCCTTTTTACTTTTCCCTCCTTGTGGCTTCACTGCCAACTGCCATTCTAGGTCACCCCCATACTACCCCTGTAGACACTAATAAAACCCTGTGTTATTAAAGCTTGTAGCCCCTTTGTGTATTCCTTGGTGCCAACTGGACCGTGTGTGGTATGGACAGACCTGTGACCATGATCCCATAAACACACCTTGTATTCAAGGTCTCCCTGCTTCTGGGCAATCACTGCATTTCACTTAGCATTTCACATTCTGTTGTGCATTGTTTATACTGGTTCAGTGTCATACACTTTGTTTCCAGGGGTAGGAAGATAGGAGCCATTTTTTAAACATTCTTTTCTAATCACATCCACATCCAGCATAGCATCTGAAACAGGAAACACACACATGCACACACAGCCACTCAATGTGACCCCTGACAGAGACCAAAGAGAAAGTGTGCTGCATAATCTCTTTATTACACAAATGAATAGTGAACACCTGAGCTGGAGACTGTAAATTTAATAGCTATATATCTAGATTTATGGTTCCTTCTATTCACAGCAAATGGCAAGTAGTTACCATTGACATTATTGATAGAAAGTTTTATTTTAGAATAAATTTGCCTTTGAACAAAAACACTAATTTAGGGAGAAATGTTAGGTAAATAATAGTAGAGCTAAGAAAATATGGCAACAATTGTGGCAGTAATACTTAGTGATAGAAGCCTGGAAAATATTGCAGTGCAGTAAGCCTGCCTTATCCATGTATTTATTACACAGTTTTGACCAGGCACAGTCAGTAAATACATAAGCAATCAAAAGAAATTTCAAAAACAAAAGTTTCAACTTCTCGGGTGAATTCCACAGGTCACTTGATGCAGGAAGCTCTCAGTCCTGTGTTGTCTGTCGTCAGCTGTGCTTAAATCATTGTGTGATCTTCTGAGTGATTCCCTGCACTTAATTTTGTGAAAATCTGCCTCCCCAAAGGGAAAAGGTGCCCAAAAAGCTATGGTAATTCTTCCAAGCCAAAAAGCGCACATTATGTGCTTAACTTAAGTGATAAGGTGGAAATTTCTGATTTGTGGAAAGGCAGTATGTCGTTAGCAGGAACAATCAAACACCCACAATACAGCACTGCCTTCCATGCATGAATCCTGAGCACGCATGGATTTTCCTCCCCAGAGGTCTGCTTGGAACTACGGACCCACTGATACCAAGGGCTTATTGTACATTTCGGTTAGAGTCTGTTCTTAGTAAAATTGGTGACTGACAGATATCACATTGATCAGACCCCTTTCCAGACAGCCTTTATGACAGAGTGAGCCAACAGGTAATTTTCACAACTGTATTTTTAGCATAAGGTCAAGAGAGAAGAAGAGTAAAGGGTCAAATGGCAAAAATGATTTTTTCAGTAACTTTGAAGTTGGTGAGCTTGCTGGAGATGATACCATTACTGCAGAGCCAATGCTGTCATCCCAGGCAGGGACTGGGGACAGCAATTCCTTGCACTACCCACTGCCCCTCCTAGGACTCTCTCCTACACAAAGTCAAGCTGCGAAAACTACAACACAGTAAACAATGAATGAGTTCCAAAAAAAGTATAAATTCCCAAATGCACAAAATATTGGAAAAATAGAAGGATAGCATTTCACATGCCAGTTCCTGTTCAACCCTTTCTCTCATTTTGGAAGCTTTAACAACCACCCTCAGCAACCTTCCCATCCTCAGTTTAGCCTCCCTGACCAGGTTTACTGAATTAGAGGCCTCAAAGTCGACTCTCTGTGAGAGAATACAAGCAGACTGTGACTGGAGGTCTGTTAACAATTCAGCCTTCCAAAGCCAAAACATAAAGTGCAAACAACTCTGAATGCCAGGGAGTATGAAAAAGGAATCTTCAGTGCAATGAAATAATAATTTAAACTCCCCAGAGTCAGGTCACATTTATGGGTTAAGGGCACAAGCCCCCCCAAGACTGCCTTCACTTTGGACACCAACTGCAAGTTTGGGGGTCCTTAAACCACCTGTACTTCTTCTAGCTACAAATTCAAGGATTTCCAAAGCCCCTCAGGTTAGATAATTTTCTAGACCAACCCACAGAACTCAATAAAGCACTATCCTTACAATTAAAGCTTTATTATAGTGGACAGAAATTGGGACCAATGAAATAAAGAGACAGTAGGGTGAGTTCTGGAAGGGTTCCAGGAGTGAGATTTCTGTGTCCTTAGTATACATTGCCTTCTTCATGTCAATATATATCACAAACACTCATGCCCAGAGTTTTTACTGGGGTCTCCCTGTGCAGGCATGATTGACTTAATCCTTGGCCACATGAGTGGAGTCCAATATCCAACTTTGCCTCCATCCCTGTAGTTTGGCAGATTAGGCTGATTTCACGTGGCTAAAAACCCTAACTCTTTGGCCACATGTTGATCTTTCTGGCATGGCCAACCACCTCTTGAAACCATCTGGGGACCCACAATAAATTTCCTCATTAGTATGAGCTAGTTGTGATCCTAGGGAATACCCCCACGAAAAGACATTCCTATCACTTGGGAAATTCCAATGACATGGAGAGTCTTCCCAGGAACCCAGGACAATAATCAAATTCTTTATTATGCAACATCCAGAAAATGCAACGTGAATTGGGCCTATTTTAAGTCACATAAAGCCATGGTCAAAAATATACCATTTTTACAATAGAAAAACTCATTGGAATATAACAGAAGTGACCATTAGATAGATGTTTTTCACTTCTTGATTCATTCAGCACTATTGGGTTACCTCCTGGGCTAGTCACTGGAGTATGCCATTACACTGTCAATGTAATAAACTTGTTTTATTTATTTGTATCACAAGAAAAGAAGAAGTATGAGCTATTTGAAATTACCTCCTGACTTTAATTCCAGTCTAATGAACCTGAAGTCTAAGATAACTGATAATTTTTGCTTGTTAAGAGTGATGTAAGTGAGAGGCTGAGATCAGGAGGATCATGGTTCAAAGCCAACCCAGGCAAAAAAAGTTCACGAGACTTTTTTCCATGTCAATGTTGAAAGTTGGGCATGACAGGTGTGTGCCTGTCATTCCAGCTACAGCATGAAGCGTAAATAGGATCAGAGTCAATGCCCAAAAAGCAAGACCCTGTTTCCAAAATAACCAGACAAGAAGGCCCGGAGGTATAGCTCAAGTGGTAGGGTGCCTTCCAAGAAAGTGTGAAGCACTCAGTTCCAGCACCCCAGCCCCATCAAAAAAAAAAAAAAAGGTGATGTAAGAGTGTTGGGGGTGTAGTTCAGTGGTAGAGTGTTTGGCTAACATGCATGAGGCCTTGGGTTCAACCCCAGGAACTGAAAAAAAAAAGATGTAAAAAAAAACCCCAAAATATGAAGTATTAAGCATCAAAAGATATGGTAGTGAGACCCTGTCTCAAAAAAAAAACAAAAACAAAAAACAACCTGGTGAAAAATTTGAAGAGGTAGGAAATAGTAGAAATATATCTTGTTTACTTAACCAGAAGGCAGCAGTTTGGTCTTATTTTTGTAAACAAAAATTAAGAAGTGCTTTGAAATGTAATGCTATAAATTGTTCTTTTTTGCTTTCCTGTAATTGGAGCAACATACTAATTTCTACAAGTTGTGACTACTAACAGAGAGCAATCACCTCACAGACTTGTACCGAAGAGATGAGACCATCCGGGTGACAGGCAACGGCCATGTACAGAGTCCTCGCTTCCCCAACAGCTACCCCAGGAACCTGCTTCTGACCTGGCGGCTCCATTCCCAGGAGAAAACAAGGATACAGCTAGCGTTTGACCATCAATTTGGATTAGAGGAAGCAGAAAATGATATCTGTAGGTAAGTAAGGAAAAAAAATCCATTTCAGAGTCTTGTTCCAGGGTGGAAAAAAAAAGATGAACTAAAAATATCACATTCAACATTCCTTTTGAGCCCTTTAGACTAACCTAAAATGTGTCCCTTCTTTTTTATAAAAACCTTATGTTAACCCTAGCAGACAGACAGCTGCCTCATAGGGCTTGGTTACCTGGCCTGAATCACAGAAACTTAATTTGGTGACTGTTGTGACTGCATGTCACAACATGTCCCCAAGTCGAGTGCAATCTAGAGTCTTGTGACTTTTCTAGGCCCCAAACAGCCTTTCTGAGCAGGAAGACATTTTCCATAACCTGGACACTGGGAGCTGCACCCCAACATTCAGGCCAAAGCCTGTCATGGGCCTAGGGAGCATAAAGCCCTTCTCAGCTCAAGGGACTGACCGAGGCCATTGTTACCAGCATGGGGAGAAAACCGTGGCTGAGGACCTGGTCTAGGCCTCACAGTGAACTCAGTTCTATGCCTCAGATATGTGTAGGAAGAAAAAGGAGGCAGGCAACTCCAGAGCCTGTGGCTCCTTAGATGTCTGCTGCCTGTAGTTTCTATGCCTGATAATCTCCCTTCTTCATATATTGTTCTTTGAATTGTCCATTCATACCATCTACTCCCTTAATTATCACATGTAAGAACTGGGGATTTTTTTTTCCTTTTTATACTATATGCACTTGTTCTGCATTGCCAATGAACTACTGAACTGCTAAATCCTTTCAGCAGGCTTATTTTCCTTTGAATAATAAAAAGAGGTGCCTGAAATTTGGTCATCTTTTCTTGTATGTTTATTATGCTGACAGCTTTTATTATATTGCTATTTTTCTGCAAATACCAGCAGTGACTATTACTTTCTAGGACCATAGAGGGTAATGTATGCCAGAAAGCAGAGACAAATACATGCACAGAGAGCCAGTTAATATTTACAAAGAGAATAAACTAAAGCTGATCATGCATCTTTTCAACCTTGAAAGGGAGAGCTAATTTTCTGTGCTGACAAAAACAAAAAACAGAAAGAAAGAAAACTTGGGGGAAAAGCACTATTAAAAGATAGTTTAAGATGATAATGTGTTTCTACTCACAGAACACCCTTACACCAAATGCATGGGAGTTTTTCCCTCACACCAACTGATCTTCCACACCTGTTGGGTGACCTACAATTGAATTCAATTCTGACAGAATTTACTTGGAATTAGCATCTTATCCCACAAGTTAAAGACTCAATTTCACAAGACTCCTCCATCTTAAATGTCAGTAGCTGGTCCCAACCCTCCCATATCACCAGCCAAGCAGTTGTAATTCAGGAGTCCCACCACGCGCTTCTTAGCTTCAGTGATTTGGCATATCAATTCATGAGACTCAAGACAGCACTTCGTTTACTTTTACTATTGTAGTGTACAGGATACAACTCTGAAGAGATACGGGAATGGCACCTTCTCCAAGTGCACCACCTTCCAAATACCTCCATGTGTTCACCAACCCCTGGAGGTTTCATTATGTCAGCATTGTTGATTAAATCAGTGGTCACTGATGACTGAGCTCAATCTCCAGGCCCTCTCCTCTCCCCAGAGGTCCAGGGGTAGGATGGACGGTTCCATCCCTGTAATCATACATTGGTCCTTCTGGTGGCCAGGCTCCATTCTGAAGCTATATAGTGCCTGCTAACAGTCACCTTATTAGCATAAACTAAGGTATGGTTGGAAGAGCTTATTATGAATAGCTAAAGGTGTTTCTCTCATTCATCACTCAGAAACTTCAAGGGATTTAGAAAACAAACCAAGGACAAAGACCAAATATATATTTTCTTGCTGTATCACAATATCACAGGAGTAATCCACCAATGAGCTGGGATTTTGATCCAGGCAGTAAGTCCTTTTGGCCTCCTGGCCTTGAAAACTTGAGAGTAAGTGTGGGAATTATATCATTTCTGGACCCTTCATCAAATCTAGTTGCCTCTCAAAATTTAAGGAATGAGGTACGGAAGTAAGAGGAAGAAAGGAAAAAACAGATTGGAAACTTGCCTCAAACTTTTGCCTTATGACAAAAATGGCGTGTTCTTGACTTTGGATTCAGAGTGTAAACTATACTGATGTGGTGGATTTTTTAAGCAAAATTAACCTATTGTGTTAACAAAGTTTCAAGTATATTCATGCTCTGTGCAGTAAATATGATTTACACAAATTGTATATAAAAGGAAATGCAATTGATTTGTAACCATCTATTCCCAAGCCTCTTTGATGTTTACATTGTAATATTTTATTGCTTGAATATGATTCCTTGTTAGTGCTTTTTATCTTCCAAGCACCATATAAATGTTAAGAAATTAATTTACACAGCACCCAAGAGATATCCAACTGGTAAAATTACATAAGCCTTCTTATTTTGCCCATAAGGAAACTGAGGCAAAGGATATAAGGGTCTCATAAATAACTGTCAAAGAAATTTAGTCACAATATCATGATTTTTACCTACTCCTTAGATTATGCTTCCCAATATAATAAAAGCTTTGAGTTGTGTGGGTATAACCAACAAGTCCATATTGGCTTTTTTTCATATTTAGACCTGATGTTTCTTATGCTATTTCTTTCTTGTAATCATGACAAAAAAATATATAAGGTAGTTGTGAGATTTCTGCCACTGTTCACACTGACTGCGCATGGTTTGCTTGTGATTTTAAAATTTAAAGTCATTTGGGAAAAGGTAGAGATGAGAAGCAAAACACTGATGACCAGAACTGACCAGAATGGAATGACAGATTGTTCAGCCAATCAAGCAGAATGTTCCAAGACCTTAGGGGTCTGAAAACAGAACAAATGATCCATAGGAGAGGTAAATTTGCTGTCACTGATGATGCCCTACCATATGAGAGAATGATGGGAGGGTATGGAAGAACTTCAAGGATCAAATGGTCACATAGAATAAGTAAAGAGAACTTGCTACTTTCCTGCAATCTGGGATTCTGTTTCACTGATCACTGAGGGTGAGCCTATGGTCTTGAGTTCATTCACACCCTGTTGTAATCAGCCTAGACTTTTTGGGTATTGGTTAGTGCATATCTCTCCTTAAAGTTATATGTTTTCCTTTATGAAAAAATATCACATTTCATGATGTGATCCTTCCAGAAAAATAGCCAGAAATAAAATAAAACAAATCTTGTCCAAATCCATTTGTAGTTTGTAAAGGGAATGCTGATTCTTCATTATAAAGCTACCTACATGTCGATCACATTCATCTTAGGGAAGCCCTTAGTGTGGTAAATTAATTCAAAGTGGGAATTCATTTGAAAACTTTACAAAGTAAATATCTGGGCATACAACTTGAGCTATATCTAAAGTATTCCAAACAGTTTATTGTAATGAGTGTTTCCAAGAAAACTTTGTAAGCTAGATTGTGCAGAAAGTAGCCCATTTTGATTACTAGTGCTCTGGAATCCATCATAACAGAGAGCATATTCTGGTTCTCTCAGAATGGATTATTGAACTTTGAGTTTGGAAAATATAATCCTAAATCTAGCTTGCCTTTTAACATTTCTGTAGGTTATAGTTTTCATTTCATTTGGTAAGTCATGATAAATCACGTTAGTTTCAATTTCTCAGCAAAAGTATGAATTTCAAAACCTACTTTGATCAAAACATAGCCCTTTATGTTGAATTGATTCTAGATATGATTTTGTGGAAGTTGAAGATCTATCAGAAACCAGTACTGTCATTAGAGGACGATGGTGTGGACACAAAGAAGTTCCTCCAAGGATAACATCAAGAACAAACCAGATAAAAATAACTTTCAAGTCTGATGACTACTTTGTGGCAAAACCTGGATTCAAGATTTATTATTCTTTCGTGGTAAGTAGCTAAACCACCCTGTGATTAAAAGCAGACACTGGTTTCATGAAGCATAGAGATCATTCTCTATGATTCAGTACAATGGTGTGAGGTTGAATGGACCTTTTTTCGTTCCTTATGGCATGTTTTGTTTCTATCTATGGCCAAAATATTAAAGCCTTTATTTATGAAGAATTCATAAATAATTGATTTATTAAATCAATCTTTGGGACATGTCTTTTTTTGTTTGTTTTTATTATACAGGTCCATTTATACAAGTAGTATTCTTTTTTATCATTGTTGTACTGAGGGTACATTGTGACATTTACCAAAGTCCTTACAATATATCATAACTGAATTCACCCTTCCATAATTCTCCTTTAATCCCCCCCACTCACCCCATTCCTGGAATAGTTTTCACAGGTCTCATTTCTCCATTTTCCTCAATGAGTATGTAATACTTCTACCATATTCACCCTCCCACACGCTTTCCTTATTATCTACCCCCTCCCCCTGGTACCACCCTCCAGACAGGACCTGTTTAACTTCCTGTTTTCTGTTTTTGAACAAAAGACATTTTTGTTTATATATGATAGCTATACAAGGAGTTTCACTGTGACATTTCCACATATATATGTATTATAGTCCAAATTGGTTCATCACCTCTATTTTTCTCCCTTTTACCTTAGTCCCCTTTTATATGGTAATTTCAACACGTTTAAAATTTCTATATTCTTTCTTGTTTCAAAAGTACATCAACCATATTCACCTTCTTAACTTCCTTCTTTTACCCTCCCTGTCCCATTAATGACCTCCCCTTAGCATGACCTATTTTTCATAATATTGCTTATATTTGTATTGGGCCTATATTCCACACGTGAGAGACAACATGCATGGATCATGCATTTTGAAAGAGAGCATATAAATAGAAAAAGGAAAATCAACTGAAGCCAGGTAAATATATAGCCAAATAGAAGGTATATGAGTGCTAAACAGGTTTTAAGAATTAAAGATGAAGAAAATATTTCCTCTTTTGGTTTTAGCACATTGTCCATAAATGTTTTCACAGAAAAAAAATCACTGATGATTTGAGTTTAAATAATGACACAGATTTAGGAAGGATCTATGTTATGATCACACAGAGTCTTGGGGTTGGTAAGGGCTTACTCAGGACCCAAGGGTATGAATGCTGTTCACTACAAGCTTTGGTCTCACTTCTACTTAAACCTGTTGGCAGCATTTCCAACCATAAGTGGTTCTGATTTATAAAATGTTCAACCAAAATCTACATTATAGTTAATCCTAGTTGTTGGGTCACACACAGACATGTATCTTCTTTACTAAGTCATTCATTTAACATCAAGTATGGATGCTAAGATAGGACACAGTACAGTAAATGACATCAATCTTGTTAGTTTTTATTTTCTTTCCTGTTAAGAATTAAATTTAGAATAAGAAAAATCTTGCTTCTTTTTTAATCTAATAGGAGTTTTTTTGCATTATGGAGAGCTATTAAATTCTAAGTGAATTCTGTATTAGAACATTGTAAATGAAAAATAGCATGTGGTAACTCTGGTTCCAGTTTTAATTTGAAAACAATCCATCAAGCATGATTTACATTATTGCAAACTTATGCAGTGATACTCAGCACTAAAATTAAAGTGTGAACATTTGGTTTTTACATTTCTTTCCCTTTTAATGTGTTCAATGATGCATCTGTTTTCAATTGTTCATGGACAAAGCAGACTTGGCATGTTAGAATAGCAATGGGAGGCTTAGTGAAAGATCTTTTCCCCTTAACATATCAAGCACTATTGCTATGAATGTATTTTCTTTCTGTAATGCTTAGGTTATGACTTAGTTGAATGGTCCATAAGTCAGTTATTAATACCCTAACTGTAACACAATGTCTTGAAGACAAAACAACTCCTTTTGAAAAAGGCACTGCAAACACAGAGAATGAATGTGCTGATGTGAGGTGTTGAGGTTATGGTGTGAGCTCCACTCATTTCCAAGCCCAGGTTAACTGGAATGTTGTACAGCCTCTGTAGTCTGGATGTAAACTATTTGCCATACTCTTTGCACTCCTTTACCTCCACCAGTGCATTCAACTGTGTTTTAAAGAAATGGTGATGTGTATGGCCTTTATTTCTTCGTATTTTCTTCCTGGCATCTCGGTGTGTTCCACTGAAGTGCTTACATTTCCCCCATAATGGACTTCCATACCTAAATATGGTAAACTAGGGCCAAAGTGCAGCTGAATTGCAAGAGGTTAATCATTGAGCTTAGTCGTTAGGTATGTAGTGACTCTACATATGTGGCTATTTGACAAAAAAAAATTTGATTCTTGCTCAATAGGTATAGAAGATCACATATGTCTTGATCATGGTATTGGGAAAATCATTTTACTTATATTTATATTTTGCTTGGAGAGACTTTAAAGCAGGATTTATACACTTAATGAACTAGGCTTGAAACTGAAAGTCAGCTAGGTAAATTAATAGAGAGATAGTGAGATTAAAATGGTAATATGTATATGTAAAAAGTAATTTTGAGAACACTAAACATCTGTAGGCTGGACAGCTGTTGTGCAGCCCCTTATTTAAGGAATGGCAGGTCTAGGGAAATTTGAATAGCTCCCAAGGACTCAAAGTGCCCTGGGGAAATGGCAAGTAGCTCTTAGGAGAGCTCAAACTCGCCTCCCTTCATACCTCTGTGCCCCCCATCGAGCATCCCTGCTTCAGGGACTGTGTAGATAGATACAGCAGGATGTCTCCTGGGGCTATGTGCAGTAGATACCTAGGATCATAAGAACCCACTACACAGGAATCAATGTTTTTGAAAAAGTCCAGTTCACATTTTTAATTGTTTTCTTTTTACTCCAATGCACGGTGGGAGCCTAGTAGATAACATTAAGATGATTTAGTTTGGGTTGGAAATGACTCTTATATTCCAACTTTGCTTGGTCTGTTTGGAATTCTACACTTCTTTTGCAGCACCTGTCGTAGTCTCCTCCCACATGGGACAGAGCTGCACTATAATACACACTTCAGATAGGATGTGATATTGAGCAAGTTTGTTACCCTTGGCTTCTACAGCTTTAAAATTGGAGTTGGCACGAGATTTCTAACAGACAGGAATACTCATCACAGTACCTAGCATACAGCTAGTAGCTCATTAAATGCTGATAATGACCCTACTTTTATCACTATTAATTATCTGTCTTCTCTAGATAAATGGTGTTGAACTTTTTGAGGGTAGAGGTAGGACAAGTATCTTATTCTATACAGACTATGTTGAATTGACCTTTTCCTGAGAAAATATGATCCTACGAAGAGCCTAATTTCATTTTCTTGCTCTCCTGCTCAGCCTTCTTTTCTAATTTCAGTCCATTGAGGAGAATAGATAGCTTCAGGATGCATAATTAAGCAGAATGGGTAATGTTATCAAACACTTGCTAGATGTGATTATCTAAATAAATTAGGATCTCCTGTTGCAAATCCAGTTTGTTGAAATCTTTTCTTTTGAAGACCACTATGTATCTTACTAGCAAGGTGTTCAATGACAATGCACCCATATGATAGCGTGCAGAGAAGGAGCAGATACCGATATGAATGTCAGCTCTGCTTCTCACTGGCTCAGTTGACTCCTCTATAAAATGAGGAAAACGCTGACATTAGATAGCTGTGAGAGTTAAATTACACAAATTTTGTAAATCATTAGTCCTAGAACATACTAATTACTCAGGTAACTGTTGCTGTTATTTTTATCATTATCACTGGTGGTGTTACTAACATGTCAGAGGACAGGTAAGCTTTGAGTTTCTCTACTAGTAGCTCTGTTGTTACTGTGTGCCTGTGTGAATGAGAATGTGTATGCATATGTGTGTACCTTAACTAGAATTCAGTTTCTTTATCTAAGGAAGAAACATTTTACTGTAATTACTATAAACATGAGAACTTTCATTTTATAGTGCAGTATTTGTATGTTTATGTGTATGCACTTAATAGTACGGTAGTTTTTATAAAATTTTAAAATAAATAAATTTGAAAGTTATTAAACCCTTTTTGTTTTATTAATACATTCTAGTTTATTTCATAAATTGACATTTGATAACACACATTATTTTTTCTAAAATAAAAAATCTAATCAGACTAGTTCTTAACTGTTTATCGCTGCAATGAATTAACTTCAGGTGATACAGTTAAGATTTCCATTGAGATTAAAGCTCAAATGAAGCATTGTTTTGCATAAAAATCCTTACTTAAAATAGAGAAAGGAGAAAATGGTAAAGAAGAAGAGGAAGAAGAAATGGAGGAGGAGAAAGAGAAAAATCCAGAAGTTGAAAAAATTAAAATTTTCAAGTATTATTGAAAATTCTAATTTTGCTCACAGGAAACTTACCAGTTAGTGAAACAAAAGGAAATTATCAACAACAAAATAAGGGAATTCATTCTCATTCTCCTAAGTAGAATTCTTAAACAAAGCTAAAGAGTAAAGAAAACCCTACCCTTACTCTGTGAATTGTATAGAAATTCCAGCTTGATTTGCAGAGCCAGATGAAAATCTGTGGACATTCTGAACATCCACTATTGTTCTGGCCACTTTGGCCAGAACTGTAGAGAGCCAAGGATTGTCAACCTGTGAGAGGTAACGCCTAGAGCAGATTCTGTTTTTCTCAGTTTTTTCCACTTAAATATATCCTTCTTGAAGTTCAAGAGATACAAGAACAGTGATATTGTTTCATAAATGCCTACCATGCACCAGACAAGGCACATCCAGGGTTCTGGAGACAAAGATCTGCCCTCATGAAAGCTCATGGTAATACAAGGAAACAGATACAGTGTTAAATGTGTATTCAGGGAAATAAGTGCATACATACAAACAAATCACTTGCAGCTCAATAAAGGCCAATAAGAGAGAGAGACATCATGAGGAGTAACTTGGAAAGGGTCCACCTCCAGCCAAGAAGTTAAAAAAGACCAGTGGATGTAAAATTGAAGTGAGACCAGAAATACTAG